AAAAAAAAAAAAAAAAAAAAAAAATCATTTTTTTCTCTCTTAAACCAAAAGATCGAGTTTGGATTTCGAGGGATCTTCTCTCTCCTTTTCGCCGTTCTTCAAATTTTGATCGGGAGAAGAAGAAGAAGAGGGAGATTGGAAAGATTTGGGAAACTGATGAGAAAACTCGGCCAACATTTGAACCACTTCTCTCATTGTTGGTCTTTCCACGCTGTTCTCTTGCACACATAACATTGCTATGAAGAATAAGTGTTTTGCTTCCTCTTTAGGTACCATCCCGATCCTTTTGTCAACTATGCAAATAATGTCGTTTTCATTCTCACCATTTGTTAGAGCTCTTTTGCACCATTGTGCTATGTCAACCACTCCGTCCTCGAAATCTCCAACTGGACGACGACCCGTCAAAAGCTCTAATAGCACAACTCCAAAACTATATACGTCACTTTTCTCGTCAACTCTCAATGTGTACGCATATTCTACAATGATACAATAAAAAAAGTGTATCAGTATATATATCATCGTCATTTACAAAAATTGGAATCGAAAAATATTTATAAATATAATAAAATCAAAGTAACATACTTAAATGGTTAATTTTAAAAAGAGAAATTTTAAAAAATAAAATTTATTAAATTAAAATTTTACGAATAATTTTAAAATAAAATATTAATAGTCCTACAATAAAAATATATATATTTTAATTTTTTAGGTTAAAAATATTATTAAAACTTTTTTTTTTTGGAAATAAAGTGGAAAGTTAGATAATTTAGATAAAAAAAAATTCGAGTGTTTTTTCTTTAAAACATAATTTGACCAACTGGTGAAACCAAAGTTCCAATGGTCACTGTCAATCACTGCCCTTGGATTTTCATGGCTGTGACGATCGGACGGCTGGCGTTGACTACTTATTCAATTACCATGGCCCACCAAACGAATTTTAGTAATTAACTAACTTAATGAATACTGTAACGACCCAAGTTGAAAAAGAAAAATAAAATAAATATGAAAATCGAAAAAAGCAATAGAAAAAAAAAAAAAAAAAAAAAAAAATCTTCGGTAATATTTGTACCATACAATTTATTTTATTGGTGGATCATTGTGTTAGAGACTAACCGGAAGATAACGGGAAGTCCTTTGATCATCTATGGGATGATATGGTGTTCTTTTTGTCTTTTTGTCTTTTTGTCTTTTCGACTCTTTTGTTATTTGTTATTATTCGCTTTCAATTTTTCAAACTGGTTGGAGTTCCTCTCCTGAGTGATATACCTCAGTTTCTTATCAATCTTCTTTTCTTTTTCTTTTTCTTTTTTTAAAGCCAAGTAGTCCAAAATATCATCTTAGCTGCATTCTTCCATAAGTGTAGCTTCTTAGAACTCAAGAACACAATTGTACCAGCCTATAGAACAAATCCTGTTCAAGTAAGGTTGTTCCGTAAGTGTAGTTTCTTTTGGGTTTTCTTTTTATCTCTTTCTGTGGGAGTCNGAGCGATGTAGCCGTAAGAGCCGGCGATCACCGACATGCATTCCGACGCGCCGCCCTCGAACATGAACTTCGCCAGACCGAAATCGGCGACGTGAGCTTCGAAGTTGGAATTCAAGAGAATGTTGTTTGATTTCACGTCTCGGTGGACGATTAGTGGAGAGCAATCGTGGTGGAGGTAGCAGAGACCTTTGGCAGCCTCAATGGCGATTTTGCACCTCAAATTCCATCCGAGAAACGAGGCCTTTTTGCCGTGGAGTGCTTCACCTAAGCTTCCGTTCCTCATGTATTCGTATACGAGGAGATTTGTCTCTTTATTGGAGCAGAATGCGAGTAATCTGACGATGTTTCGGTGTCGAATGTTGCCTAGGGTTTGGATTTCGGCTCGGAATCCATGGTCGTGACTGTTAGGGCCAAATCCTAGGAGTTTCTTCACTGCGATCTCGACTCCGTTTGGCATTTTCCCGTGGTAGACAATGCCAGCGCCGCCTCTTCCGATCACGTTGCCGTCTTTCACGCACTCCAAGACGTCGTAGACTGTGAAATCGAGCTTTTGGAATGAGGTCATTTTCCATGAACTCGATCCGTTTCTTTTGAATGATTTCGCTTTGACTACAGCCGCTATGGCGAACACTAGAGAGCAAATCAGCAGGCCGAGAGCGAAGATTAGCTTGAAGTACGCCGGAGTTTTCCCCGGTTTTGTCGATGTTGTTGCGAAGTTGCAGGGATTGTTGAGGAGAGAGCCGCAGAGTTGAGGATTTCCGGCAAAGGACGATGCATTGAAGAAGGCAAGTTGTCCTGATTCCGGTAACTTTCCGGAGAAATCATTGAAGGAGAAATCAGCAATCGTAAGGCTCTTCATTGCCCCTATTGATTTCGGTAGGGATTGATTTAGATGATTTCTCGACAAGTTGAGGTAATTGAGAATATTTATATTCGAAATTTCAGGTGGAATTGGGCCAGAGAGGTTGTTCTTGCTCAAATCAAGATAAGTAAGATGGATACAATTCCCTATTTCAGGTGGAATTTGACCAGAAAGTGTGTTTCTGCTAAGATCAAGCTTTAGAAGTTGATTGAGTTCTCCAATGGAAGGAGGGATTGTACCAGAAAACTGGTTGCCATTGAGGAGGAGAATTTGCAGAGAGGAGAAATTAGAAAGTGAAGATGGTAAAGATCCTGAGAGAAGATTGTTAGAGAGATTAAGTTGCCCTAATTTGATGGGTTTTGATGAACTCTCCCAATTTTCTGAAAGTGTACCTGAAAGGTAGTTGTCCTGAAACTCTGCTAAATTTAGTTGAGGCAAGTAAATGAAGCCATTGGGAATGCTTCCATTCAGATAGTTCTGCCCCAACCTCACTTTTATAAGACTGGTACATGTCCCCAAACCATCAGGGATTGGTCCAAACAGGAAGTTGTTCATCAGAATCAGTATTGTCAGCTGATTCGATGAACACAAATCTTGCGGTATTATACCTGTGAGCTTGTTTGAAGACAAATCGAGGAGCCGAAGCCTCCCATTTTGGCCAAGAATCTTCGGGATTGTGCCGGTAAAGTTGTTCATCCACAGTGCCAATGTCTCTAAGTTTGGTAAATCTGCTATGTAGTCTGGAATAGATCCGTGCAGTTTGTTGATGAAGAGGTTGTAAAGCTTGAGCTGTTTGAGATTAACAAACTCAGATGGGATTTCTCCGGTGAGTGCATTGTTGGAGAGATCAAGATAGACCAAGTTTGTCAAATTGCCTAACTGCTTCGGAATCGAACCCGAGAGTTGATTTGTATACAAATATAGTGTGTTCAAGGCCTTCAAATTCCCAAGTTCATGAGGAATTTGACCATTCAAACTGCAGTCTGTAATCTGCATGATAACCAAATTGACCAACTTCCCAAGCTCAGGTGGAATCCCACCTTCGAAAGCATTGAAATGACCCAAGTAAATTTCTCTCAAATTCGTGAGATTTCCCAGTTCTTCTGGGATTTTCCCAACCAAATTATTTCCTTCAAGAGAAAGATATTGCAACTCTTCGAAACTGCCATAGCTCTCAGGGATTTTTCCATGGAAATAGTTACCTCCAAGGTCCAAGTATTTGAGGTTCCGTAAGTTCAAAATCTTAGTGGGGAGCTGAGCAGAGAAGTTGTTGTCATAGACATCGAACACCTCCAAGTTCGGCAGGCTCGAGAAGTTCCAGTCCAGAGTCCCAGTGAACTGATTGGTTGAGATGTTGAGGAATCGAAGGTAACTCAAATTCGCTACTTCAATGCCACCAGAGAAGTTATTTCCTGCTAAAGACAACTCAGAAAGTTGGTCAAGACTCGAAATCAACGGTGAAACAGAGCCACCAAGGTTCAAATCTCTCAAGTCAACCGACACAACTCGTCCATCAGCGCACTGAATCCCGACCCACGAACAAACTGAGCTGAAGTTTGAGGCATTCCAAGTGCTTAGTATAGCAGAGTCAGAGAATTGAAACCCTTGTTTGAGAGCAAGCAAAACATGGAAATCACTGACCAAACTGTGGGAAGAAGAGGAGCCTAGAAGAGACAAGAATGTAAAAACAAGGAAAAACATGTTTTTCCCGAAATTGTTTCAAGGGAATTGAGTTTGGAAGTACAGGAAGGAAAAACCAAGGGTCTTAAGCAGCAGCTTTGCTATAATATGTTCTTCAGCAAAGTGAGGAGGAGAAGACAGTGGAATAACACGTTGAACTTCTTCAAGTGTACTTGGGCTCAAGGAATCAAACATGTTCATAGTAAACGAGTGTTCAAATACAAGTAAGAAAAACTAAGACCCTCCTTTTTTTCTCCTCTTTTGTTTGCTTTTCTTTCCTTTTCGTGAAGATGCAATGTTGAAATTCTGCTACAAAAATGGTTTCGTTGCTTTCTGGATTCCTCTATGCAAGTTTCTTTTAGCAAAGCTAGGAAGAAAAGAGGTTGAATGAAAGGAAAGAGAGAAGATGGTTCTGTAGATAGACAAGTAGCTAGCAAAATGCAAGTTAAAAGATGGCCGTTGGATAATAGAAAGATCAAATGCGGGGTGGGGAGGGAAAAAGAAATGAAAAAAAACAAAAAAAAAGAGAGAGAGCAAAGTTAATGCTTTGTTTCCTTTCTTTATTCATAGGACAAGAATACCCTTCAGCTTTAATTAAAGGATGCTCTTTATTGCTTTGAATGAATGAAAGAGAGAGAGCTGAAGTGAAGGATTTGCACTTTCCATCAATAAGAACAGTTCAGTCCTCAAGCTTTTGGTAAATGACTCTTGTATGTTTAGTTTTGTCTCTTCTTTTTTTCTCTGAATACTAACCAGGAATCTCAGGGCTGTACTGTCCTCTGTACATTATAGGCCTCTAACTCAAGCTCACCTATAATGTCACTCCCACATGAAGTCCTTGCCTCCCCAGGACGACATAATCTTAACTCGACATAACCATCATTGTGTTGGTTTCGTCCAATAATTTCTCTTCGAAAGGGGCGAATCTCGAGAGTGAGAGAACCATAAAACTTTTTTAACCCAAGAATCCTATTATGCCAAATGACGTTTCCTTCCTAATCTTATATCTCTCTATAAATTCTAGAAGCCAAGAAAAAGAGTTCCTCAAGGAAGATAATACAAAACCATGGTGATGATCCTTTTTTTCTTTTTGGTTTTTGTTGATCATATGATAAAAGCTATCCACTTTTGAAGAAGAAATATCTACTAGAGAGTTGGTTCCATGTGGGTGGAAAAGAAGATGATGATTATTAATATATCATTACAATGGTGTTGAATGATCAATCTACAGTGATGGGAGAGATGCAGGCTGCTGCAGATGAAGAAGAAGAAGGAGTCAGTAGGTCAGTGAGAGGTCTTTTTTATTTATTTATTTTTTTTTTAAATTTTTAAATGGAGGGAATTTACTCTTATTAGTTTATAATTCTAATTCCAAATGATTTCTTCAACTTTATTCCTTCTTCCTAGTTGCCCTACATTGGTGGACCAGTTATCCATGTAAAAGAATGTAGGATTTGAAAGCTTTATTAGAAGATGGAATAGTCTTAAAGGGAGAGCTGTAAAGCAAAAGCAGAGCAGCAGATGAAATCTGCTTTTGATCTTCCTCTTAAAAAAAGAAGAGCCATAGAAAAATCTACTGCACCTCTTCCCCTCCTTCCCTTCTCTTCTTCTTGAATAGAAAACACTGTTTTTGTTTTTGTTTCTCTTCTTTTCTGTGAATATACAATTATAAATTGCATTTTGGGATCCATGTTGTTGTACCTTTTCCCCCCTTTTAATGCAGAGGTGTTTCCCCCCCTTAGTTTATCAAATTTCATTGATCAATAAAGTTGAGTCACATTTGTTTTTGTTCTTTTTTTAAAGTTAGGAGTGATTGAATGGGTACTAAAGTATAGTCTCTCATATTCGAACTCTTACGACGTCATTTCTTCAATTTATATTGATTATCGTTTGTAACGTCTGGTAATCTATCTCTTGTCAGGTGTTGTGAGATCCCACATCGGTTGGAGAGGGGAACGAAACATTCTTTATAAGAGTGTGGAAACCTCTCCCTAACAGACACGTTTTCAACACCTTGAGCAGAAGCCCAAAATGGTAATCTATCTCTTGTCAGGTGTTGTGAATCCCACATCCAACCGAGGGGAACTAAACATTCTTTATAAGGGCGTGGAAACCTCTCCCCTCCCCCAATAGATACATTTTAAAAACCTTGAGTGGAAGCCCAAAAAGAATAATATCTGCTAGCGGTGGGCTTGGGCTTGGGCTGTTACAGATGTTGTTATCAATGTCAATAGGGACGTTGAGGAATCTTAGGACGTGATAAGTGGTAAATGGGTAAATAGTTTAGTAGACATGAGGAATCCAAATCATCCAAATACAAATGATTGACCTAGGTATGAGGGTTAGAAGGGGGAGGCATTTGAATGCACACACACACACCCCACTTGTTTGTGATATTCAGAAGGGGCACTTGGGCAAGAGTGCCCTATGGCAAGTCCTTATCTCTCATGCAGATGCGATTGTGGGCCTTCCATCTTGAAGGGTCGTTGTCTTTGTAGGGGTCTCTGTCACTGTGATCTAAAGAACCATTTATGATCACTCCCAAAAGAAATTGTGGTCACCCCTTTTGCTTTTCTTGGTAATAGCAATGCCAATAGCAATGCCCATTGCCATTGCCATTGCCAATGCCAATGCCTTGGGACTACACAATATGAGTTTTGGTGAAGAGCATCTTTGATTACCTTTTTCATTCCTTTATTATTTCATGTCTTGAGCAACATGTGTATCATATATATGGGGGGTTTTCCTTTAAATTTGTGAATATGTTGTTATTGGTGTTTTATACTGATTTGTTTCTTGTGGGTTTCTCGTTTTTTGTGCTTCTTTCTAGCCATTTTTTCTAGATGTTTTGATAGAATCACTGAGAATCTAAAATTTAAAATTCGTTTTAACTTTTTTTTTATTCGCTTATTTATTATACGTAGAGTTGAAGGTTTAGGGTTTTGTTAGACATTAAATTTTATAGAGAAGAAATCAATTTATTTTTAAAAGTTTTTAAGTTTTATGGAATTTATTAGACATGAGATTGAAAGTTTATTGGTTTATTAGACTCGAAATTGAAAGCTTTGGAATCTATTAGACACTCTTCAAAATTTAGGGACCAAATAAACACAAATCTTATGTATTTTTTTCTTAAAAGAACAAAAATTTATTATCCTATATTTATATGTTCGGAGAGAGAGAAAAAGAAGGGTTTGTTTGTGGAGAAACTCAATTTAGAACAAAATTTCAAATCTTGAAAAAGTAATCTAATTCTAGTCTTATTTTTTTAGGTGATCCGAATCTTGTACAAGAAGATGTTAATTTCTTTGATTCAAAGGTTTTTACTTCAACAAAAGCTTGAATCGTTACGTGGAGGATTATGATTGTCTTATCAGATTATGTTAGCTAAAGTAACGATTCTTGCAACGTATATATAGTTACAAAGGTCGATACTTATATTAAAAGCATTTAAAAGCCGTTAAAATTTTTTACTGGTAAATAAGATTCTTATCAAATTAAGAGATAGATCGAGTACGATTATATAGAACCTAATTCAAGAAATTATGTTGTATGAAGAAAAGAAAGAGTAGAGGCAAAAGCAAAAGGGCAATGAGAGGGAGAAGGGCATACTCATTAAGGTGGGCCTCTAAAGTAGTCTCCAAAATTGTACTAAACAAACCCTAAACTCATCCATGGAAACAACATCATCACCTCTACCATACAAAAAAACAAACAAACAAGAAGAGGGAACCCTTTTCAATTTTTCATGTTTCTATATGTTTTATATTAAAATGTTGTTATATTACACAAATACCCCTCAATTTTGGAACGTTTAATGTTTACTCTTGAACCGTGGAATTTCAAGAAATACCCTTGTACAGTTTTGACGTGATGGTTACTGTGTAAAAATCGAAAGATGTATGTGGGATCATTTACAACGTTTAAAGTTTTAAACAGTATTTTCTCCAAACAAATTTAAAACGTTTGAATCAAGTTGGGTCGTGTTTAGACATTTTTTAGACTCAAACTTTGTTTGGGTTGTAAATTTGTCAACTCGAGCACATAATCCAAATAACCCTTAGTAAATAATGAACTCAACCTAAATTTTACGGGTATAATTGAGTTGATAGAGTTTTTCAAATCATCGATTTTTTTGAACATTCTAAATTACACGTTATAGGAATTGGAACTTAAAAATCAAATTAGTATCAATAATGGAAAATTTTAAGATTGTATGTCAGGATCATAATACCATAATGTAGTAGTATTGTTTATTATATTAATGTTCCCTAGATGGCGATGAAATCAAACCCATTTGATATGCCAAATTTGTATTGGATAATAAAAGAATAGTAAAATCATCTGTAATTTAATATCATATGTTATAATTTAATGTGTAAATTTGGTAATATTATAGTGTGAGTGAGTAGGTAACACATGCAACCAACTATTTATATCATGATTTCATTATGTGCCATAAAAAATCAATATTAAGAGAGATTTTGTCATCTTTCATATAAACACCCAAAACCCTAATTTTCTCTCTCTACCTTTCTCTTTCTATTGTTTTAAATCCCTTCTTATATATTAAATTATAAATTTAGTCTTTAAATTATAAAATTTTACAAATATAGTCGTTTAACTTTTTAATTTTATTAATTTTACTCATTTATTAAACACAAAAAACAAAAATAAAAGTTTAGTATTTTAATTTTATATTTAATAGATTAATTAATTTTTAAAAAAATTTAAATTGGTTATAATATATATATAACTAAATTAATAAAAATATCTTTAAACAGTGTTTCATTAAATTTTTTTAATAATTCTCTTAAATTAAAAAAAAAAATTCTAAAGTACCTATACTTAACAGGGAAACCGTTAATATTTTGTTTCAAAAATACCTTTTAATTTTTAAAATTGTTTCAAAACTACCCTTTAACTTTAAAAAAAATGTTTTAAATATATTATTTTAACTTTCAGATGTGTTCCATAGTACACTCATTAATACTTTAAACTTTTTTTAAAAATTCAAAAACACATTTCCATTTTTTTTTTAAATTCCAAAAAACAATCTTTTTATCAGAATTACATTTAAAAAATACTAATAAATTTTCAAAAGTAACATTAAAAAGGGACATAATCTATTAGGTGTGGTAGATGGTTTTCGTTCATATACCACTCCTAAAAGCTTTTTTGAACATTTTTTTTATAATAATTAAGAGTATTAATGCTAGGTTTAAATTTTCAATGAGTATTTTTTTTAATATTATGTTTAAATTTTACCAGTATGAATACTATGTTTAAATTTCGTAACAAAAAAAAATTGAAATTTTATGGAATTTCTAAAATACTATTAAAATTTTAAAAATATTTTTGAATTTATTTATTTTTAAATTCAAAAGTATTATTAAAAATACTTTCTAAACAAATTATAAATATTAGGGGTATTTTTATTAATTTATATTTCTTTTTGGCTTTTAAGTTTT